TAAATAATATAGATCAAATAAAAAATCTATACAATAATTTACAAACCAAATTGAAGATTTTACTTTTTTTGGTTTGACCTTGGTTTGAAAGTATTAAGATATAATCATAAAATTAAAGTAGAAATAAAAAATTTATTTCCTTTAAAATATTAAAAAATCACTATTATTTTAAAACAAATTCTAAATAAAAAAATGCTTATTGTTTTGAAAGGTAGGGAGTATATTCTAACTTTACTTCATTTGTCCCAAAATAATTATCACTCAATAATTTCAAATTTGTCTCAAATTAATTATTATTCTTTTAGTTTTTAAGGTAAACAAATATATTTTTTGCTTTAACCTTATTATTATCTATTTGCTTTAATTAATCACCCCATTAGAAAATGTTTCTCTTCATCTTTTATTTCTTTTTAAGGACAATATAAATAAACATAAATTATTCTTAAATTTTTAATTTGAAAAAAAAAAACAAAAGTTATTTTGAGGAAGAGATAATACAAATAAAAATTAATTTTTTTAACTAAATAAAAAAAGAAATGATATAATTTTATCCTAATAATGACAATGATGATTTTTTTAGTTGTTAATCAAAATTAAAACATATAAATTTATTAGAAAATAAAAAATAGAAAATAAAAAAAATCTCACTAAAAAAGTAAAATATTGTTGAGATGAACAAATAAAAAAAAAAAGAAAAAGAAGAAGTACAATTTTTCAAAATTGCATATGCCACATAATTGGTGCCACATAAGCATGCCATTGGATTCTATTAAAAAACTAATGGAAGTTAATTAGATAGATGAATTTAAAATGATTTTCAAAGTTTATAGATGATTTTGAAAAAAACTAAACTTTTTAAACTAAAATGAAAAGAAAGGAATAGTTAGTAGATAAAAAATTAAATTTAGCTGACATAATTTTATTTTTTCACTTTTGGACATTAAATAAAAATTTATCAATCAAAATATATGAATGATAACAAAAAAAAAATTTCTTTATATGTAATTTTTATTAAATAATTTCATTTGATCAAAAAAATTTAAAATATTTTTTATATATTATGTTAAATTTTATTTAACATTATTAACAAGAATTTAGTTGAAATAGTTTCTAGTAGCTTAAAAGTTTGGATTTACGATTAAAATCATAGATTTTAATTTCTATACTGTTAAATAGCTAATTCTTTGAAATACAAAAAAATATATATATATATCCAAAATTAAAGTCCTAAAAACTAAAAAAATTAAATTAGAATAACTAAAATGGAAGTAGTAGTATTAAAACTTTTTTTTTTATTTTTCTTTAATAATCATAATATCACACATCAGAGAAACAAATTTTTTACTTAAAATTATAAATTTATGAAAACTAAAAATTAAAAAATCACAATTATATTAAACAAAAGCTACTATTTTCTACATTAAAATTAGTAGCTTTCGTGGCTTGACAGAATAACCATTACAGTACTACTACATAAGCTATTGGTTTAATACCCAATTTGGCCTTTAAACTTTCATTTTAGAACTTAATTCGTCCTTTAACTTAGAAAGCACCTAAGTTGTCCTCTAACTTTATTTTTCTATAACCCAAATAGTCCTTCCGTTGATAGACTGTATACCTAGCACATTTAAGTGTCCAACAATTACCGCTTTTAATTTTTAGGTTAAATTCATAATTTGATTCCTAAACTATTATATGGACTTTTAATTTGGTTCACGAACTAAAAAAATCTCTAATTTGGTCCTTGAAGTATTGTACGGACTCCCAATTTGGTCCTTACTGTTTACCAATTTGCTCCAAATTGATCATTTCATACAAAAAAAAATTGACGTGTCTAGTACTTAACAGTGAAAAATAGTAACTTAATGATAAAAATAGTAACTTAACGATCAAGTATCACATTAATAACAAAACACGTCAGCTATTTTTGTATAGAAGAACCAACTTGGGGCAAAATGGTAAACAATAAGGATCAAATCAAGGCTCCGTACAATAGTTTAAAAACTAAATCAAAAATTCATACAATAGTTTAATGACCAAATTGAAAATTTAACTTAATTTTTATAAGTCTATGTAAAAAAAACAAGTCAGCAAATTGATTACAATGGCATTATTTTCATTCCACGTTTGATAAAATAAAAACAATAGGGCATACATTTCATTGTTCATCGGAAACCCCTAAATCCTTCTTCGAAACCCCTAAATCTTCTGCACCATTTCGGCCGGTTGCTCAGTTTCCAACAACCATTCCAGTCGACTGCTCAGTTTCCAGAAACGAAATGATTCCAGAAACGAGAAAGCAATCGACGATGGTTGCAGATCAAACTTGATTCCTTCTTCTTCAATAGCAAGTCTTGATTCTTTGTTCTTCAAACTGTTGATTCCTTCTTCAAACCCTAAATCCTTTGCAACTATAGATTTTTTTTCTTCTCCAAACCATTGATTCCTTCTTCGACCCCTAAATCCTCTGCTGAAATTTTTCATTGAAGAAATATTCCGCGGACAAGGCTTTTTCTACAATTGCTGCATGGTGGTACTTGCGGAGGCACTTCACGGCCAAGATTTGGCCGTCATAGAGCTAACCCAGATAAACCGACCCAAACCCACCATCGCCAATCTTGCACTTGGGGTCGAATTTGTTGGTGGAGGATTCAAGCTCCTTATAAGTGAAGACTAGAGGAAGGAGACTCGCAGAACGATGGCTATGAAGGAACAAAGTCGTTGGGTCTTCCTCTGAGGATTGTGAATTTAGCTTTCTAGAACAGAAAATAACAATGCCAACTGAAATCACAAGAAAAACACACGTCAATAGGAAGATTGAAGACAAAATTGCAACTCTATTCGGATTCCATGACGGGATACTGGTTTCCGGTGGGAAACAGATGAATTGTTTGTTGGGGTCAGAAGAGTTGAAGCCACAAACTCCATTCTTGGTCTTGTAGTCTGTGCAGTTGGAGAAATATGAATCTTGTGCTTCATCCCACTCCACTTGAATGCCGATTTTCAAGAAACCATCAAGGAACCCCAAAACATCACTATGACATCCTTGTCTCTGATCAAAACTAGTGGATCCGCTGCAGCCATGGAGGAGCTGAACTGGGTTCTTGACGATCTTGCATTCCCACTGACAATAGCTGCAGTTTGGAAGAGTCAGTGGCGAACAAGCCCGGAGAAGAGAGAGCTGAGAACAAGAAGCATCCGAGAACCGAAAAGGAGAACCCGATTGAAATTTCATCAAAGATTGCTAAAATTTTCAGCCCCGTACATTATTTCTTAAATGTGTCTCAAGACACCTGAAAATATCAGTGGAATTGCATAGTCCTCAGTTTCAATGGCTTTAGGGGTGGAAGAAGGAATCAACAATTTGAAGAACAAAGAATCAAGACTTGCTGTCGAAGAAGAAGGAATCAAGTTTGATCTGCAACCATCGCCAATTGCTTTCTCGTTTCTGGAATCATTTTGTTTCTAGAAACTGAGCAGTCGGTCGGAATGGTGCAGAAGATTTAGGGGTTTCTGATAAACAATGAAATGTATGCCTCATTGTTTTTATTTTATCGAACGTGCAATGAGAATAGTGCCATGAAATCCATTTGCTGAGTTATTTTTTCCATAGGCTTATAAAAATTAAAAGTGGTAATTGTTGGACACTTAAATGTGCCAGGTATGCAGTCTCTCAACGGAAAGACCATCTGGGTTAAAAAAAATAAAGTTAGAGGACAACTTGGGTGCTTTCTAAAATTAAAGGACTAACTAAGTTTTAAAAAAGTTTAAGGATCAAATTGGATATTAAACCTATGTGGTTTTGTGTTTTACTCCTGTAACAATTACTCTTGTAATTACTGAGAGTAATTGCTCTTTTCTCGTAATTGTTGGCGAAATCTTCAATATTATTAACGCTGTTACTCTTCCAGCTTCTTAAAACTTTCAGATATAAATGAGGATTATTTCATTTAAAAAAACAGTTGTATAACTCAAATGAAAATGTTAAAATTATAGTATTAAAATTATAATGTTATGTATTATTATAATTATAAGTAATAACATAATATATAATTATATAATTAATTGTTTTAATTAAAATTTTATATATAATATATTTATATTTACTTGTTTAATATTATGTTATATTAATTTAATACCTTATTATTATTATAAATTTATAATTTTATACAATATTGTAATTATATAATTCCTGCAAGTCAAAGACAAGGATGATTAATATTTTCCTGTATTAACCTTGTGGTAGCAACCATCTGTGCCTTCGACTCCCACACCCACATTATTATCCACTTCAATAGTTCAACCGAGAGATTTTACATGTACAAAGACATCATTTTTAAAAAAATTTTTTAATTAAGGTTATCACTTTTTTATTGAACTAATTAAAGTTATTATCTTTAAAAAAATTTTAAGCAAGGATTTCACCTTTTCAATTTTACTATTCAATGATTAATTTGATTATAATGCTGACTTGGCTAACAGATTCCATCTGTGAGACCCACTAAATTGCTGATGCCTCAAAAATTGGCAGGTGATTGCTTTGACTTGGAGCTGATTTGGACAACATGCATAAGTATCAACACAGAAAAGGGTGGTGTAGGCACTCAACCTGTGTCGGAGGATCCGTTTTCCTTTTATTCATTTTAACCAAAAAAAAATAAAATTAAAGAAAAATCATAAACCATAATGAATATAGAGATTAGTTAAAAACAATAAGGTATATTATATAGATTTATTAAAATTAATTTATCATTTGAATATACTATATGAAAATATTTTAAATAAACAATTTATTCAATGTATCATAATGAATTTTTAACAATTATATTAACAAAAATAACAAATTTAAGAAGTCATCAAGGCTCGTCTATGTTTTAAATTTTGACTTCCTTGTGTAAAGCATTTTGTTGCCTGTGAAGAAAGTCACCTATGTAAAGAGCTGCATGATTCACTTTCAATATTATGATTGTTCTTCTTTTATCTCTTTTGTGTAAGCTTTCTAAAATATTTACACAACAAAAAATATAAAATTATATGAATATGATGCACATATTTACGTGCTTTTAAATATTGTAATAATATCAATATATATAAAAAAAAAACTCACCTTTTTCCCATTATTTTTTGCATTTTCACTTCCTTGAGAGTCAGATAATGCATTTTTCACATTGAAAACAATTCTTTGATGTGAAATAAAAAATTCCTTGAGAGTTATTAAGAAAAAAAGAATAGAATAAATAATTTTCCCTCAATATCATGAAAATAACAAATAAAAAGATTTCTAGTAACAAGTTATTTTTCAAAATTGTATAGTTTTTTCTCAATCGATCATGAAAAGCAGAGTAAGAGTTTGAATCCTCTATAATTTTTTAATGTTTTAATCGGTATAAAAATATTATTATTTTAACTTTCAGAAAGCTATTTTAGAGGAATTCTGTAAGCTACTTCGATCCTTTTAGGATTTGTTTATTAATTTATATTACCTTAATTTTAATTAATTTTTCCTAAACATCATGAAGAATTGCCGACACCACATGTTTCGGTGTTGATACTGTTCATTAAGAATTCAATATTGCCCAAATCAGCTCCAAGTCGGGCAGCCACTTGTCAATTTTTTTACACATCAGCAATTAGTAGGTCTCACAGACGAAATCCATTTGCCAAGTCAGCATTGACATTCAATTAATCCTTGAAAAATAAAATTGAATGAGTAATATCCTTGATTATAAATTTTTAAAAAGTGATAACCTTAATTAGTTTAATAAAAAAGTGATATTTTTATTTAAAAAAATTTAAAAAGTGATGTTTTTATATGTGTAAAATCTCATTTAATCCGATTTAATTTTCATATTTTAAATTTTATATAAAATTTGAGCCTATCATCTAATATAATAAATAAATAATAATTAAAAAAATATTATATATAATTCTTGTTAAGTATTTTTATTTTAATTTAAAAAAATTTTAATTATTATTTATTTATTCTATAAAATATCAAATTAATTTACATAAAATTAAGAAATTGGTTAAATCTCCAATTTGGCCGTTAAACTATTGATGAACCCTCGATTTAGTCCCTAAACTATTATACGGATCACAATTTGGTCCATACTATTTACCAATTTACCCCAAGTTGGTCATTCCGTACAAAAACCAATTAACGTATTTTGTTATTAACGTGACATGTGACAGTTAAGTTATTGTTTTTCATCATTAAATTACTGTTTTTTGTCGTTGGGTAACGAATACAACAGTTTTTTTTTTACAAAATGACCAATTTGTGGTAAATTGATAAACAATAGGAATCAAATTGAGAGTTCGTACAATAGTTTAAAAATCAAATTAGGGGTTTAACTAGGGGTGTTCATATCCGATCCAATCCGATTGATTCAACCTAAACTGATTCGATCCAACCAAAAACTGATCCAAATTGATACAAAATTGGGTTGGTTTGAATTTTAAAATTTTAAAACCGATATAATTGGTTTGATTTGTTATTTTACTTTCAAATCACTCGAATTGTTCGATTGCAAAGTTAAATCCGATTAGAAGATAATTTAATTAAATAATATAACATTTTTTTAGTATTTTAAATTTTCTTTTTCTTATTTTACAAGATTATAACTTTATTAATTTAATTAAAAAAATAAAAATAAAACATCTCCATATTCCCTAAATTATTTCTCCATTTTAATCATGCACTCTAATCTTAATTCTAAATTTTTAATTTACCTACAACTCTATCCTCTCAATACTAATTTGCGCTTTTACTCTTAGAACCCTAAATTTTTAATTTATTCTTAAAATAATCTTATGATTTTCTTAATTAAGTTTTAAATAAGTATCATTCTAAAACCCTTAACACTATATAATAAAATTAGTCTTAATATTCAACTATTCTTAGATATTTGATTTAGAAATTTTAAATTTTGATTTTGAATGCTTCTAATTAATTTTAGTAATATTCATGTTAAATGTTATTCACTTTTAATAGAATTTAAAAAATGAGATTAAATTATTAGTGTATTAAGAAAAAAAATTAATTTTAATTTTCAAGAATTATTTACGCTATACTATAAATTTGAAGTTATTTTTTGTTGTTTTGGTGCCTCTAGTTATGTAACCAAGAAGAATTTTCAGAGTTTTTCAATTTTTATAAATGTAAAGAAGTATAAGAAATCGTTTATAATTTTTACTGATTTGAATGTTAATGTATTTTATAGTTATACTTTCTATTTGATGTTAAAATATTTTTACATTATTTTTATATATTTAATAATGTTAAAAACCGATCAATCTGACCGAATCACACCGATTTGATTTAAATTGGATTGATTTGGTTGTCACATAATAATGGATTGAATTGATTTAAAAATTTTATTATCCGATTAAATTGGATTAGTTTAAAAAATAATAAAATCTGAATCAAATCACATCATGAACACTCCTAGGTTTAACCTAAGAAATTAGAACAGGTAAATAAGATAAAAGAATATATATATATATATATTTTATTGACATGTTTCTAACTTAGTATTTACACATGTCAACTAATTTTTCTCCTAATAATTCTAAGAGCACATTTTTCATATTAATTTAATACAATTAAAAAGATTTAATTTATTTATATACTAATTTTAAGAAGTAAATATTAAGTTTAATTTATAAAATAATATTCATTTATCAATATATTTAACTTTAAGATTTGATTGCTACACACACGTCCCAAAATATTTTTTCCTAGAAGCCGCGCCATAGATTGATGTAGCTCGGCTTTGGATTTTCTTCTTTTTTCTCGAGGAATCGGCTTTGGATTTTAAGATTGCAAGCACGAAAACTACTAACAATTATAACAGGTTATAAATTGAGTGTAATCGATTATTTTGGAGAAAAATGAATATAATTGCTTTTTTTTTAATGATTAATTACTTTACCCTAAATGTTTTCGGGATGACGTCGTACACAAAATGACGTGAGTTCTAGGGATAAATATTTCAGGACATATGTATGCCGAACGGGCCTTTAGAAGTTGCGTGTAACTTTCAAATTGGCTAGTTTTAGAATTATGGCAGGACATGTTTCTAATGAAAATAAACAAGATTTTTGAGATTGTTTGGTCAAGGGGAAAACTTTCACCCTGCAGGCCTGCTTGATTGGTCACTTCTTTAGATAAAGAATTCAGAAAATTGACCAAATATTACGTTAGCGTGGCTTAGGAAAGTAAATTTTTTTGACACAAAATAGAGATTTAATATAATTAATTATAATAAAAAAATACATATCAACCTTAATTTTTAAAATAAATTAAAATTTGAATATTAAATAATGTTATTTTATTTAATTAAAATTTAATTTAAAATTTAAAAATTTATTTTATTAAATGTTAATTTTTAAATTTAAAAATTGATTGTATTATAATATATAATTGATTTTTAAATTTAAATATTAATATTTAATAAGGTAAATTTTTTAATTTTAAATTAAAATTTCAATTTTTAAATATAAATTAAAATTTTAATTCTTTTTTAAGAGTTAAAACGAATATATACTGTACTCATAAAAATAATCGATTATGTTGTAACATTCCTAGGAAACTTTTTTGAATAAAGGTGTAAATAAGAATACCAATTTTATATATTTTTTTATTTAAGGATGTTAATTTTATTAGTTTTTAAATAAAGATGTCAACTTTCAATTTTTTCTAAATAAGGATGTTAGCATTCAACTTTTTCTATTTAAGAATTAATTAGCGTAATGTTACGTGACTAACATTTTTTATAGGTTAAATACCTGAATTGGTCCCTCAACTTTTATTTTTGAATCAATTCATTCTTGAACTTCAAAAAGGACCAAAAACATCCTTCAACTTCAATATTCAACACCAATTTCGTCTTTCTATCAATTAAGTGCTAATGTAGCTAATTTTTTTGCTAAGTGATTGATTATTTTACATTTTCAGTATTAGGTGGAAAATCCATCATGTAAAAGATGATTATGTGAATTTTTTTAATTTTAAATAATTTAAAAACTACTTTAATTCTTAATTTTACTTTATTTATATTTATAAATTAAAACAATTAATATATTTTCCCATTTAATTAGTCCCACCTACCATAAATAACTCTTAATTTATAAAGAAATAAATTAACTCTCATTTAATTTTATTAAATCAAATCTAACCTACTATAATTATTTCCTAATTCATGGAATAATTAATGAACTTTTATTTAATTTTATTAAATGAAATTAAAATAAAATTCAATTAATTTTTTGGTTCTTCTTCCTCGACCTTCTTTTTTGTTTAAATTATTAAAATAAACTGTAATTATTTCCTAATTGATTCTTATATGATTAAATTCCATTTAATAAAATTAAATAAAAGTTAATTGATTCTTTCATGAATTAGGAAATAATTATAGTATGTGAGATTTGATTTAATAAAATTAAATAAGAGTTAATTTATTTCTTTATAAATTAAGAGTCACTTACGGTAGGTGGGACTAATTAAATGGGAAAATATATTAATTGTTTTAATTTTTAAATATAAATAAAGTAAAATTAAGAATTAAAGTAGTTTTAAAATTATTTAAAATTAAGAAAAAAATTGGTGCTGAAAATTGAAGTTGAAGGATGTTTTCGGTACTTTTTAAAATTCAAGGATGAATTGGTTCAAAAATAAAAGTTGAGGGACCAATTCAGGTATTTAACCTAAAAAAATATGTTAGCCATGTCATCATCACCCCTCAATTAATCCTTAAATGGAAAAAACTGAAAGTTGACATCTTTAAATAGAAAAAGTTGAAAGTTGACATCCTTATTTAGAAAAAATTAAAAATTGACATCCTTATTTAGAAAAAATTAAAAGTTGATATCCTTATTTAAAAACTGATAAAGTTAACATTTTTAAATAGAAAAAAGTGTAAAGTTGACATCCTTATTTGCACCTTTACTTAAACTTTTTTTCCCAGATATTTTACTTGGAAAGTGAGGTAATTAATTATAAAAGGAAAATAAATGATCATATCATTATAATCACTTCTAAAATTCTTTGTAATCAATTATATGCCAATGTAATCAATTATATTTTTATTATAATCAATTACATTGAATCTCAATTTTCATACGAAGAAAATTACTTTCCTACACCAAGCTAACATAATCTTTTGTTGGCTTCTCTAGATTCTTTATCGAAGAGTGATCAACCAAACAGGCCTTAAACTTTTCTAAATTTTTTTCTTACAATATTATTTATGTACTTTTACACATTAATACTACAATAAAAAAAGTAAAAGAGACATTTTTAGTATTTATCTTCCTTAAAAAAATAAAAAGGTTTTCTCTTAACTTGTTTCTCTGCAAAACTTACTTGACAACTTTCTTACTACCAACTTTCCCTATGTTAATTTCTTATAAAACACAAAAAGTAAACACTTCAACAAAATTGTGACAAAATTTCATTACAATTTTTTTCATACGGTACTTTACTAACCAATTTTCAAATAAAAGCTTTTCTAATAAAAATTGGCCTTTTACCAAATAGGCCCTTAGGGTTTAAATCCCACCTTATTAAACAAAGTATGATTATATTATCAAAAAAGTGATGCACATCTTCTAAATTGAAAGAAGTTAGTTTTAAAATATATAAAAATTAATTTAGAGATATGATGATGATGATGATAGGAGATGAGTCTTTCAATCTTGGGATAGTCTCCCTTCCATACTCCATTTACTATTATTGCATGGATTGCAAAACAACATTCTCTTATACTCCCTTAAGTTGGATTTAGTTGTCTCATTTTATCCATTTATGATTATCAAGATATTCATTTATTATAAAGATGATGATGATGATAGGAGATGAGCCTTTTAATGTTGGGATAGTCTCCCTTCCATACTCCATTAACTATTATTCCATGGATTTCAAAACAACTTTCTCTTATACTCCCTTAAGTTAGATTTAATTGTTTCAGTTTATCCACTCATGATTACCAAGAAATTTATTTATTATAATACTTAAGATTTATTTTTACATTTTCATCCTTACTTATAATTAAATGAAAACATATTAGTGCATGTTTATCTCTTTGAAATTAAGGATAAAATTAAAATATTAGTATTTAATGTTTTATTCAAGTAGAAAATGAAACAATTAAATTAGATTACTTTTTAAAAAGTGGAACAACTAATCTATCAATAATCTAAAATAGGGAGTACCATTTTGGGCAATCAAAATTTTCACTTATCCTTTCATGTTTGCTTTTAATTTTTTTTTCTTTTAGGTTATACCTTATATTCATTTTGTTCCAAAATAATTATCTTTTTTTAATTTTTCTATAAATTAAAATTTTGGCATAATTTATGTGTTTATCTATATTACTTCTAAAAAAATTGAAATATAAAGGAAGACTTCTTATGATAGGATAATTAATTAAAATAAATGGATAATGATAAGGTTAAAAAAAATATTTATTTACCTTGAAAAGTGCCAAATAACAATTAATTTGGGATAAACTCATCAAAATCAAAAAACTATTATTTTGGGACAAAAGGAGTATAGTCTAATAATATACTCTTTCTATCCCAAAATAATTTTTGCTTTTATTTATTATTTTAAATTAAGAATTTGAGGATAATTTATATATTTACTTATATTACCTTTAAAAAAATAAAAGATAAAAAGTATTTTTTGTGATAAAAAGATTAATTACAATAAATAAATAATAATATATTCAAAGTAGGATAGAAACATTTGTCTACCTTAAAAAATAAAATATGATAATTAATTACAAATAAATTTAAAATAAAAAAAACACCAGTTATTTTAAAATAAAAGGAGTATATTTTATCAAATAGTTTCAAAAAATATATCTATAATTAATTAAATCAAGTAATTATATAAAATCTATTCTGTCTATAACAAAATAACTGTCATTTTTTTTAATTTGTCTCAAATTAATTGTCATTTTTTATTTTTTAAAATAAAAAAATATTTTTTTATCATTCTAAGCTTATCATTGTCCATTCACTTTAATTAATTATCCAATTATAAAAAAAAAATCTATTTTTATCTTTTATTTCTTTTTTAAGGATATTATAAATAAATACCATTATTGTTCCTAAATCCTTAAATTAAAGAAAAAGTCAAAAAAAAAAAACGATAGTTTTTTGGGATGGAGAAAGTATAAATTAGATTATTTAGTGAAATTATTAGTGTGCTGAATTATAAATTTAAATAAAATAATAAAATAGTTTTAAAATAGAAAAAAGTTATTAAATTTAGAAATTTTAATAGGAAAAACTAGAATGAAAATAGTTCTTAATTAACTCTTTTAAACTAAAAGAAGTCTATACAAAACAAAGAAGCAAGAAACCATTTCCAAAAATTTGTGTTTGGTTCAAATTTAATTAACATTATTTAAGTTATTTTTAACTTAAGGCAAACTGTCACGCCCCAAAACCCAAATCCGGAGACGTGGCAGACGCCGTGCACTCGTGAGAGGGTCCCACAAATGCACAAGGTTCGGAACTTACTGAGTTCATACTTAGCAATTCAAGTAATTCAGATCTAAGCCTTTTTAATTACCAAATATTTACCAATCAGATGTACAAAATTTATCACTTCATATATACAATCATGACTAACACTAAATTCTATACACAAAATTTACTATGTCAAGCATGGGTGACTAACGGCTTAGCTACAAAAACCTAAGTCCAAAAGTGCCTAGCCGTCTAGCTCGTCACTCCCCTGGGCTTTCCACGCGTCGGGTCTCACTACCTGAAATGGTGGACAAGGAAACCGTGAGATAGAAATATCTCAGTAAGTAAACATGGGCGCTCGACATCAAAGTTTAAAGCATGCCAAATAATCGGTTGAAACATGAACAGAGCGTTTCAATAACAAATCATTAATGCAAAATAAAATCACGTAGTGGTCTCCTCTATTAGTCATGGCCAGTGTTATAAACCTCCCATTGGCAGGCACACGAGTACTAGTGTATAATCCCCACTAGTAGGGCCACGAGCGAATCGGTTCTATCACGAACATGTCGACATGTGCTAGCGTTTGTAAACCTCCCCCACTAGCGGGTTCACGATTACACGACCATATCGAAGACAAAACCAAGCAAGATTTACAGAAACTACGATTCACGATCGTTCTCACTTTCAAAAATAAA